TTTTCTTCATTCTTTGTTCTGGACGAGGAGAGACCCATCGTTGCATCTAGATGGCAGCTTGCTTAGAGCTGGCACTTTGAACTCGGACTTCTAGCCTCCTAAACTGCAAGAGAATAAATTCCTGTTTGTTAAAGCCATCCATTTGTGGTATTTTCTGTTAGAGCAGCACTAGAGAACCAAAACAAGGGGGAAAGATTTGTGATGCAGCTTTAAAGGCTATATAGCTGGGTCTTGCCCCATAAACATTTCTGCTACCTATGCACTAGTGTTTGCAGCCTCCTTACACATCCTTGTATACCTTTTTCAGCTTAGAAATTCCTTAGAAGGACCCAGCATTTGTCAGGTTCGTGGCTGAGACCTGATGAATCATGGTGAGCTCTGGCTTGCTGGAAGAAAGGTATTTCTTCCTGCCAGTGAAAAAGCCCTCATGCTCCCCCTTGCTCACCAAGGTGATATATGGAGCTGTGTGGTTCTAAGGCCCTGTCTCAGTGATAACCAGCTTACAGAATCGGTCGTGTTGTTATTGACTTATCCTAAAAGAGTAGCTGGGCTTTAAGCCCTTAGAGCTGAGATAATTGTCTTTGTCTAAAGTCTGATGCTTTGATTGTATCATTGGGGGTGTGAAACTATCCCATTGGAAGAGATGAAAGAACCAGCATGCGGGCAGGGGATGCTACTAAGGCAGGGTTCCTGGGCACACAGGAGCACAGCTTTACCAGTTGCAGTACTAAAATGCTTCCAATCGGGTGGTGATTAGACACCAGCTTGGGGACACCAGAGGCGCCTCCCAGCTTCCCCAGGATGGGGAGCTAGAAGGTGAGTATCAGGCCCAGCACAGGACCTGCACCATCCTCCAGCCTATTCCTTATTAATATTTTCAACTTCATTCCTTGGATACATCCTGGAAAGGCAAGAGCCAGATCAATTGCAGGGGGATTCTGAGTTATTTCTCTCCCTCCAACTAGCTGTAGTGTCTCCCAGACACACAAAGGGCTCCACTCTGTCAGGGAGACCTTCCCAGTGCAACCTTGGGCTGAGCAGACCCTGATTCCCGACAGCCCAGGTCCTAGGTGATGTGGCCTAGCCACCCAGGGATGTGATTTTCTAAATGAAAGATACGGCTGAGCTTTTCCACAAAGGGGTAAGAGCCAGGTCCCAAAGCTAGTCCCAGCACAGGGAAGAGGTAACAATCAGGAGGAAGTGGGAGGGGAGCTGTTGCATTGTGGTAAATTATAGTCAATGTCATGAAACATATAAAGTATATGTGAACTGCTGTATGGAAAGTGAATTTGTTCTGTGAATTTTCACCCAATTGAGGGGGAAAAAAAAAAAAAAAAAAGCTAGTCCCAGGCTGGAGGAAGGCAGTATGGTACCTGAGCAGTTTCTTCCGTAGGGCTGGGAAGCTAAGAGCAGGCTCAGCAGTAGAAACATTTCCTCATTTGTTTATTTGTGATTTGGGTGAAAGTTTACAGAGCAAACTCATTTTCCATACAGTGGCTCACATACAGTTTGTCTCATGACATTGACTACAATTTCCCACAATGCACATTTCATTGGTCTTGTGCATACCGGTGTGCAGTTGTTGTTGTTGTTGTTAAGTGCCGTCGAGGTCGTTTCCGACTCATAGCGACCCCATGCACAGCAGAACGAAACACTGCCTGCTCCCGCATCAGCCCCACAATCCCTGCTATACTTGAGCCCATCATTGCAGTCACCGTGTCAATCCATCTCATTGAAGGCCTCCCCCTCTTTCATTGACCCTCCACCCTACCAAGCATGACATCCTTCTCCAGGGAATGGTCCCTTCTGACAACATGACCAAAATAGGTGAGACAA